GCACACCTGATGCATTAACTTCACACATGAAAAAAAGCACTAATTTTCTGTTTCAGTATATATATTGTGGCTACTTAAGATATTCTTTCCATTTAGAAATCAGTAGTGAAGAATTAAGAAGAAACAAATGACTAGAATTCTGGTAGGTGATGTTGCCATGATGATGGATTAGGAGATACCACACTTCATAATAAAAAATAAAGAAATATGGAAAGCTGTTAACCAACTAAATGAGGTTAGCTAGGGCTCAAGGATTCATTTCATAATCTGAAGAAGCAAAGAGGGTCCAAGAAAAGGCAAAATATCCATGCAAAAAGTACAGCAAGCCTGAGAAAAAAGAAAAAAGGAGCAGACAGAGGGGCTATGAGTACCACATCCCTGAGAGAGCCACCATGGTGCCCACTGACCAACTGCATGGAGGACACTGACTCTCAGTAGAGAAGTAAGCAATAACCCTTCCCACAAGGAAACCCAAACAGGGCAATGAGACCACACACCCTTTCCTCACCTCAGAATCTGCCCCTGTTGAATGATGTCATGAAAGGAGCTGCCAATTTTCCAAACTCAGTCATGCCCTGGAGCACATGCTGCACTGTGAACATGCACATTGCAAACCCAGGCTTTGAGGTTGTGCTGGGCCACCCATGACTCAGACTCAAGAGCCACCACTGTGTGATCACTAGAAATGTTAGTAAAGAGGGCAAAGGTGTCATGTACAGAAAAGAAGGGAGAGAACCAGGAATTGGATACATGGCCCACTTAAAAACTACCAGTTTTGAGAGAAAAATGCACAAAGTTTTAGGGAAGCCTGTAGAGAATAAGTGCTTCCACACACCCAGGCTGAGATAGCACTGAGGCAGGGTGTTTCCTCATCCCTGCTCTTTTGTGTAACAGAGCAGGTTTGCAATAGTGCATCAGACACACTGCTGCACAGGGGCTTGCTCATGGATGACTGAGACACAGGTTTCAGGATGGCAATTGGGAAATGATAAGTCTTCTACTCTGTATTCTGTGACCTGGAAGGGTCTGTCTCCCTCTCTGCCTCCTCCCTTTGCTCTGTGATTCCTGGATGCATGTATTGTACACCTTTTCTTCCATCATGCCCCTGTGCCATCCTGTTTCTGCCTTGGAGCCAGCCAACCATTGACTAAACTGTGAGCCAAAATAAACCTCTCCGCCTTTCAGTTATGGGTATCTGGCCTTTTGCCCAGCAACAGGAATGTGACTAAGACAATGCTCATGCACAACTGAGTAGGCCAAATCCTGCCATCTTCCCCTTTTTGTTTTATTCAGTCAACAGACTATTGGGTGGTGCTATCCACAGTCAGGGTGTGACTTCCTCTTTCAGTTTGCTGACCTGCATGCCATTGATCTCTAGAAACTCCCCTGAGACACTCTCAGAGGTAGGCTTTACTACCCTCCTACTCATCTCTCAGTGTAGTCAAGGTGAAAACATGTCATCCACCCCTTTTCACTGGGACACTCAAACATATTTCGTTAAATCTCACTTGGTTTCCTAAGTAATAACAATGTGAGCTCATGATTCTGCCTAATATAGTACAGCTATGCTCTGTACAATGGCACATGTAGTAATACCTTCCGCAGTGTAGGAGGCAAAGTTTTTTTCTTCTCTGTGTGATGCTCACTTTTCTGCTCAAATCTCATAAGTTAAATATTAACATGTAGAATAAACAATACTTATGTATTGATATTAAATTGATCAGTAGTATATTACATGATATTAGAGTACAGTGACAGAAAAAGATGTTTGCTTAATATGTGCAGAAACATGATTTGTATACATATTTTAATTTAGTATTTTATTAGTGTGATGTTATATTTTCATTAATTTCATGCAATGTGTACTTGTAAAATCCTATCTCGATCATTTTTATCTCTTTACACCTTCTACTCTTTCCCTTGATCCTCTTCCCCACCTTTTAAAAATTTGCCTTCTTGTTTCCTACCATCTTTCTTTCATTTTACTCCATGACTTACTTATATTCTTGGGTTTCCCATATATAAGATAACCATGAAATATTTAACATTTTATGTTTGATTTATTTCACTTAACTTATAAACACAACATCATCCTAGCTTCTTAATTAATTAATTAATTATATTGATAACAATGTTTTATGAAGAGTTAGACAAACTACAGGCTCTATAGAGTGAGTTTGGAGCTAGTAAAAGTAGGAAAAGAAGTACACTCTACAGAATGAGGGAGGGCCACCAAGCAAGAAAAACAGGGTAAAAAACCCAATATGGTCTGTCCTTTGAGTATCAACTACTCCTCGGGCTGACATCAAGTCTAGGCCATCCTAGGGAAACCCTTCTTGAGTTCTCAAAAGAAGTTAATGAACAAGGCTTTGGTAACTGTCTTGCACATGTATTCAGGGATCTCGTCAGCCTCCTTTCTCAGCTGCTTTATTCGTGCCCTACCCTCCTGTCTCATTCCCCCTGAGACACACATACCCACATACAGAATTACTCAGTGAGTGGAGGTTGCTGGCCTCTATAGCTTCTTGCTGGAAGGGGCTGGAAGTCCTATCTACTGCCGATTATGTGTCCTCAAGCTAGCTTGGAATATTGTAGCTCACTGTCTGGGTAGAAGAGAAATAATGTTAGAAGTCAATAAGAAAAGAATTAATGTCAGTTGAGCTGCCTGATTGAGGGGAGAATGATAGTGACTTCACTATTAAACTGGAGATGTGGAATCCAAATAAGAACTGAACAGATTTCCATGCTTCTTGAAGAGGACAAAGTATGACAAAGAGAGAGGTGAGATAAATTATTGAGAGTCTGAGAGCCATAGCCTTGGCAAGATTACCCACAGAATGGATCTAATTAAAAATGAGCACGCCCATTCAAGATGTGTTAAATTAGGATCATCAGAGACTCTGCTCACCTGCAACTGCATCGATACTGGAGTCTTGCTTTTTGAAGAGGAGCCTTGGGTCTTCAAGGATTTTTCAAGTATAGCTTTCTTCTTCGTCCTGTGAAAATTCCAGTGACTCTTTCCTATGTCGGATTTTTATAGCTTGTCTCTGCACCACTTTACGAAGGACCACAATAGTTGCTCACCTGCCTCCCTATCAGCCTTTCTTTTTCCAAAGAAGATTTTAGAATTATCTCTGTGGGTTCTCTTGCAATGAAGTATGGGGGCAAAACTGTTTGAGAAAATAGACTGTCTGTAAGCATTGTAGAATTTCCCAAGTCAGCAAGTTATTTCTTTCCAGAATGATGCATGCACATGTAGCAATAGAAAGGCATATTTGGAGTCTGGCCAAATACATGTAGCTTTTTGTCTTTTCCTACTATCTGTGGCCAAGTAAGACCTGTGAGCTTCATTGTTTGAACAGAGGCCTCTGGTGAAGTTGGCCTGGATGGGCTGTTGGAATTGACAACTGCATATTCCAGCAATGAACCACACCTTTCATGACTTTGGAGGGCCATATCACTAATATTCTGACTGCTTGCATAAGCCTGAGAGATCAGTTGTTCACAAGATTGACTAATTTCTTGTCCTGTAAGCTTCAGAGTGGAAGGATTAAGAGCAGTGCAAATTTTTATAATAACTATAGGTGTGTCTCAGAGCATGGCCTGGTACTTGGCAAGCCATTCCTCTGTTAACCACAAGTAACCTTTTATCTCAAGAATCATGCTGACTTGATGGGGAGTCAGGGCTTGAAGTTTTCATTCCAAGGTTAATTTTGGAGCTTCTTGTGGAGGGGCATTAGGAATTTTGAAAGCAGAACTGTAGCTGCTATTGCTCGAAGGCAGGCATCCAAGCACTATATCTAACTTTTTAGAAAAGTATGCTAATGGGTAGAGTTCTTGTCCTAGCCTTAAGTCAAGACACTCAAAGCAATTCCTCTCTCTTCCAACATAATAAGTTAATTAAGGCCAAGTATTTTTTTACATATTCATTACCTATCTTGTTAATGAACAATAAGTTCTAACCAAACATTCATATTCAAACAGTTGCAGTTTATGACATTAAGACCTAATTATTTCTGTCCACATAGAACATCTTGTTTGGAAGCCCTTGGTGGGTAAGGAGACTGGCAGGAATTTAGACAAAGGCAGCCATTAAGAAACAGTATCTAGAAACAACTCATAAATTACATTCAAATACAATATATTTATTTATCTCATTTATCAATTCAGAAAAGATAGTGAGATGCTAGTAAAATTTCATGTACCATGCATTTATGGGCCAGATTCTTGAAAAATATAGTTTCCTTTATATTTCTCCATAGAATCTTTATGTGAATACCATCAAATTAAATATGTTTCACTGAGTAAATACACATCACTGAAATATTACTCTTCTATTGATTAAAATTATACCATATGATATTCTGAATGTATAAATTTGGAAATTTCCACTCTTGTCTTGACTAATATTTAATACTTAAGGTAATATATAAGTTGTGCCTGTGTAATACTGAATGAGAAATTTTAGAAGATTTCTCCTTTTGGATTTCTCAAACAGAATATATATCTATAAGAAAAAGAAATGAACTTCTGGAACAAAAGAACACTTGAAGTCATTTTGTGGTTGCCTTCTAGTAAACCATAATAGTGAAGTAGTAAGATCATAAATAGTAGCTACAGCTACATGTTAAGGTTGGCAGAGAGGAGAGTGAGATTTATTCACCCCTTCACTTTTCTATGATCTCTGTGTGAATTCAAGGCTGCACGTAACCGTGACGGTTGTCTAAGAATATAT